CAGCCCTTGTCGAGAAGATCATCGAGTTGTGCGCAAAGCACCTCGAGTTCCTCTTCGCTCATGCGGTAGATGCATCCACGCGGAGGGACGGCGCCTGCCTCGAGAGTGATCCCGTGACGTATGGGCCGATCCGGAACCGTTCCGGTGGGAGCCTCGAAGACGTCTCTATACTCGTCCAAGAGGTGAGAAATGCGTGGGTCCGGCGGTGACGCGGCTGGTCCGTCCGGCGAGGGGAGAGCATGCAAGAATACAAGGCCCATCTCCTCGACGTCATTCCGAGCAATGGCATCGCAAATTCTCGCAACGGAAACCACGTGACAAGCAATCGAAGTGTGAGGGGTTGCGACCGTACATGGGACTAACACTCCGTTCCGATCACGGATGTGAACGGTTCGGTCATGGAAGTTCACCGGATGATCGGTACTACGCAACCAAGACATGCCTAGAATCATGTCGAACTTGGTGTTGAGGATGTTAAAAGACACCGGCTCGCACGCAAGTGGCGCAAAGTAGACCGGAACGCCGTCAACGCATCGGTCAATTGACTTTTGCGTGCGGCCGTCCGCGAGTGTAACTTGCGTAGGTTGCGTCTTCCTTCGAACGCGCGGGCCAAGACCTGCGCGGGCCATAAAGGCTTGGCTCATAAAGTTGCGAAACGCTCCGCAATCAATCAAGGCACTACAGGTTGCCTTTCCGATTTGAATGCGGATATAGAGCAAAGGTGCGTCGGTTTCGGCGTACCTTTGGGTGGCGTACTCGCGGTCAATCTTCGCAAGATAGGAGCGGAGATCGACAACCGCTACCCTGTCGTCCGTCAACGGAGCTGGTAGTGTAGTGTGCAAATAGGAGCGTAGAGTTGCCATCAAGGCGTTGCAAAGCGGCCTTGGCAAGGTTCCGGTCGAGGGTAGAGGCATCCAAGCGAAGTCCTCTCTCGTGAGCGGGTCAAGCTCCTCAAGTCTTGACCACGCCGTYGAGTCCTCGGAAATCAGTGGCGAACTGACCGGATCACTTGCCGACGGTGTACAGGCTGCGCATACGCTAGCTAAGCGCACGTGGCTTGGCTGGTCTAATGGTGGTACCAGCCGGGCGGCATAATGCTCGTACGTGGCACGAGAATCAGCGACTAACGCATGCTCCCCGGTAGTGACATCGATTGCTAGCAAGGCAACCGGGTCCGGCGGAGTGAGGAGAGACGTCGCCCCTCTCCTTGCGTAACTCAGTTTCTCGAGTTTGCTGGACGAGGTACGCGTGCCTTGCCCTTTTCGGGGTATTGTGCGGTCACATGAGTGACGTCGTTGCACCAGAGGCAGTATCCGTACTTTTGACGAAGGTCATAGACATCCTTGCTTATCTTGTAAGCCGTCCATGGCTGCTGCCCAGTTCCTGTCGATGCTGTCTCTTGTGTCGCCTTGTTCTTTCGAACTCTCTTGGGACGCTTCGGCGGGAGCGCTGCTACAATTCCTCCATCACTCGAGGATGCTGCTGCAGCGTGGAGATCGTCTGTTTCTTCAGAAATCACGGCATTGTTATGTGTCGGACGCTGATAGCCCTGCTTAGCCACATAATGCGGCTGGGACTGCCGTTCGTTTTCGGCCTTGTCATCCGTTTGGATGACTAAGTTCGCACGATCCAGAATGGCCTGGAACGTGTCATAGTCGTACTCGTTGCCGAGTGCAGACCGCAGTCCCGCGCACGATCGCGAGAAGAACTCGGATCGTTGATTTGGAAAACTCAAATCGAATCCTGGCGTGGTCACTATCTTCTGCCACTTGGTTGTCCAGTCTCGAGTTGGCATATTTCCTTGAGAGCAGGTGTACACCTCGTTCATGGCCGCCTTCACGACGTTGCGGACCATGAACCGGGTGAACCATAGCTTCTCGAACTCATTCCACGTGATGTGCGTGTGGAGGTCGGCGATGGTGCATTTGTTGGTAGCCGCCAGATGGTTC